GAGAGAGAGAGAGAGAGAGAGAGAGAGAGAGAGAGAGAGAGAGAGAGAGACGCGCGGTTCAAACCAAGCAGGGTCTCGTCTACTCCCCCTCGAAACATTTTCGGACGCGGTTATTCTATAAAAGAATAAAACTTTTCGAAAATCCAGAACGCACAATAAACACAACACGATCGACGACACGAACGAATTCCACCATATATATATATATATACTTCAACCTTCGAAATTACCCTTTCCAAACCTCCCTCGTTTCCTTCTCCCGTACGAATCGATCGATGATCACGACCTATCTCGACCCAACGTCCAATCGAGGATGATACACGAGAGGAGAGTGCGATTCGCCGGTATCCGACAAACCAACGCTCTTCGCTCTTCCTTTTTCCTCCCCCTCCCCCTTCCTCGTGATTCCAAAGGGGTTGACAACTCGCCACGTAACTCGTCACGATTTCCTTTCCGATTCTGTCATCGATCGAACGCGATCCAACGATTCGGATTAACCATTCCTGGACACCACTCGATAATCTTGCGCGTGAATCTCTCTCTCTCTCTCCCTCCCTCTCTTTTTCTCGCTCGCTCTCTGTTTTTCCTCGACCCTCCCTCGATCCAACCTCCCTTTTTCGCTCATCGGGAAATGAAACGCGCGCCATCCCCATTCTCGTTGGACGAGAAACGATGATCGGCCACGCTTCGATCGTGGAACACGCGTTCACGCGCAGCCCGGCCTTTTTTTCAGTCTTATTAATTCACCGTTTACATGTGCTCTCTGCGTTCCTTCGGGGACGATGTGGACGGAGTGGCGACGGTGTAACCTGCCGGGCAGGACGGGGGATACTGCGACACTGACAATAGCGCCTTCTATCGGCGAGCCTCTGCCAGCCACCCCTCCTTTGCCTCGTCCCTCGAGCACACCTTCCTCCGCCATCGCTCCCTCTCTCTTCGATCAACGCCAACGCTATATACCATATATCCCTCTCTCCTTTACCGCTCGTCGGTGTATTCGTCTTTCACCCTCGCTCGTCCGTGTCTTTCTTCCGGGATCGCCTCGCTTTCTCTCTCTCTCTCTCTCTCTTTCTCCCCTCTTTGCTTTTGTTTCTCTTCCCCTCCGTTTCTCCTCTTTCTT